AACAATTTTAATAAAACAAAGTATTATTTTAATTTTATTTATAGCGAGAATTTAATTCGAACTCATATTCAGCTTAAATATGTATATACCAGACCAATTTCTCCTTAAGGCTTCAATGTTCATTATTTAATTTTTGTAGTTGTTTTATTGATTTGTCGACGAGTGATCGGCTTGAATGCCTATGGCTTCTGGTCTGTTATTCGATAACAACATCTATCCTCTGCACACCTTACACTGCTTTTCCAGTTTTTTTTTTATTGTTCTTGTGTCCTAGTTCTTGCACTTCCCTTTTTCTATCCGTACTAATTTTTCTTTTTGGAAAAAGTACTTTGTTAAGTTGGATACAAACAAAATTAGAAAAACCTCACAGAAACTCGGACTATCCAGATAGTTTCTAATACAACGAATAGTTCAAAGAGAGCTTAGCTTTTTCATATGCTGAGCTGAAGTGGCGCCACATATGCGTTTGTGAAGTACCATACACCCTACTACTTAGAGGCACTGTTTACAAGTAACTCAGTAGCTTAATAAGTTAGCTTAGCTTACTAAAAACCTAATAGTCTGTAGTTCCTGCCAAGCTAAGTGTTTGTGACCGAATTTGAATCAATTTATTTCAGTCTCCCTTTGCAGCTGCAATTTGGATGCGCTGTTTTAAATATTTTGTGCACTTCCCTTGCCACTTTCCATGCTGTTGCTGGGCTTAGTATTTATACACTTAACATTAGATACACTATAACATAGATATATCATCGTTTAAAGTACAAAATCGCGTATCGTCATTCTGCAAAACCGTGTAACTGACATTTGCTGCCAAAAATTTGATTTGCTCACACAAGCTCTTGGCTCAATCCTTGTCCATTCGTCCTGAAATATACTAACCAGAAATTGCTTTATAAAAAAGNAACTGACATTTGCTGCCAAAAATTTGATTTGCTCACACAAGCTCTTGGCTCAATCCTTGTCCATTCGTCCTGAAATATACTAACCAGAAATTGCTTTATAAAAAAGAGAAAATAATTTATGCAACCTCACATACGCGGTTTTGTACTTTAAACGACTATATATATTGTGCCACCAAAATAAATATGTGAATTTTTTCAATCCATTTGGCCTTGTGTACTTACCGCTGCAAGGTATTGTTAACGTTGGTTGAGAGTAATTATCGATTTTTCCACATTTTGCAAACTATTAAAGCTTATTACTCGAATTGACTTATTTACACATTTTCTTATTGCTTTTTTTACTTGCTCGAATCAGAACGTTTCTAAATACGAGTATTAAAAAAAAATAATAATGACTACCAATTTAATAGTTTTTTATTCACAGTCCACAGTGCCACTTTAACACAAACAATTCGCGACACGTGCGAGTCGTCTGCCGACAGTATTTAGACCTTTTTCGCTACAATGCAATGTAAGGGCCATACGACAACGGGCAACAACAAATTTTTAGTACTCGTGAAAAGTACAAAAGTGGTAGTAGAAAATAACGGAACGCATCGATCCGGTTGGCAAACTTGAAAAATCGTTATGGCTTTAATAATAACTCCTTGGCCGGTGTTATATTTTAGGCGCACTGGCTTCACACAACTACTGAAGATGTGTATATGACCCAGGCATAGCATAAAAAACGGTTAAGCACATACAAACACTATTAAGATGTACATATGTACATACACTCCGAAATATAAGAGAACTTTTTTTTTTTAAACCGGAAAAGTACGGAAAAATCGATGTCGACCACCGTGGTGGAAATAACGTCAGCTACACCTAAAAGTCGAACTCGTACTGAGCTTGTCAGACAGCAGGACACTAGATACAAAGCTGACACAAACATATGTATGTATATATATATATATGTATATATATGTATGTATAAATGGCAATCGACCCACAACTGGCTGCCAGGGTTGGTTTACAGATAGCCGATGAAGCAGTGGTTAAAGAGGCGTAAATAATAATACATAAATAACTAAATATATATCTGTATGATTTTTTTTATGGCAATTGCATTGTAATCAGAATTGCAGTCATAAGAAAAAAATTAATTTTGTTTGCTTGCGGTTTATTTGAATATAATCAGCTTTAGCATAGTATTGTATATACATATATTATAGATTTATATAATTATTTATGTCATATTTACTTATGTATATACATACATACAAAATCCTACTTTTCGGATAGGTTAGGTCAAGTTGTTGTGACAGACCCCACAAGGGGAAACTCACTTAAACATTAATTATATTGTCCTCTGCGTTACCAAATTACACGGTAACTATAGGACGTTTTTGGACTGGCTGCCGAGATAGGTCGATCTTCCACTCAGGTGTCGAAATATGGCTACTATTTTCTTACTACGAAGATATGTAGGACAGGCGTATAAAAAATTAATAAATGTGAAGTAAATACATATCGTCGCCCTTATGCCAGAAGCATGAATGTGAAAATTTAGCAATTTTGAGTTATTGGGTTGACTTGATTAACCTTTGGATGTGCAAATTTTCAAGGATTTTTAAGGACACAATTTTTAAAGGACTTTTCCATACCCATTCGTCCTTATGCACCAAAAAAATTACTCTGTTTTAATTCCACAGAATATTTTCTTATATTTGATACCCTTATCTTTATACTAGATTGCACTGAATTTTTGAAAAAAATATTTGAAATAACCATATTTTGTAAACTCCAAAGTCCTTTTAAAAAAAATCCTGACACAGAGAGAAAAACTAAGTACGCAGTTTTACGTGAATCAAACAGATGACCACGTGTTGATTTTTTTTTAAATACATATTCGTAAGGTTTTTCGAGCTAATTTTTTTTTTTTTTTGTTATTTTTCTATAGAAATACCGTTCAAGTTTTAACAAAAACCACATAAATCACAGTTACAAGCTTTATACAAAATTTAGGAAAATTCCACAAATTTTCATCAAAATTTCAACTTTTTAATCTGATTCCTTAGAACATTTTTGGGTAGGCAATTTTAGTCTAATGAAGTAAAAGTTTCGAACGGCGAAAAAATCCTGTTGATTTCTTACAACTCTTTTTTTTTTATGACGGATTTTTGCACTTTTTCCATATACCTAAGCATGAATTTCTTATGAAACAAAATGCGGGAGACGGTTAGCAACAAAATTTCAAAAAAGCAACGCCATTTTTTGTAAGTTACACTTGTTATAAAAAAAAACCTCAAAAGTAGTCTCCGAAAATCAATTATCAAAAATCAGCGCGATTCTTTAGCAGGTTGAAACTTGCACTTCATTAGACCAAAATTGTATGGGCTAGAAAACTGCATACCCAAAAATTTTTTAAAGATTCAGATGGAGTTTGCCGAATTTCGAAAATAGGTATCTTAACATTTTGCAGTAGTGTCGTAAGTGTTGAAATTTTACATAAAAACATGCTATAAGTTTTTTTTTTTGGTATGATGAATCCATTTCACACTTTCTTCGAAACCTATTTTCGCGATTTGGCATACTCCAAATTGATTTCAGACCCATCGTTTTTTCAGCAAATTTGCTCAGAATTACACGTATTCTATATTATATAGAATTCTACTATTTTTTCAGTTAACGTACTATATACTGTTGGAAAAAATATCGTATGCAAAAATAGTATATTTCTTCAGCTATAAATATATATATTTTTCAGTGCTTTGCAAGAAAAAATGTGTGTTACAATGGATGACCTTTATAGGGAAATAACAATACTAAAATAAATGGTCTTTAAAATAAAAATGGCATCATTTTTAACTGACTTCACAAAAAGGAGAAAAGTTATCAATGCGTCGAAAAAATTTAATTTTTTGATGTATTTGGACCACGTTAACCGATTTCTATAATTCTTTTCTATAATTATTTTTAAAGGAAAGGTGTAACAGGTGGTTCCATACTAATTTGGTTTAAATCCGATCATTGGATCTAGAAAAAATTAATGATAATCTTAAATTTTTTATGAGAATTGAAATCGGTTTGGTTTTTTGCTTAAAAATTACTTGTTAAAAATACTGAGAATGAATTACCACATTTACTTTCTATTATGAATGTGAAATCGCGTGACCAGAGAAACCAAACGACTACCTCACTAATAAAAAAAAATTGCGTTTGATTTATAAAAGTTCAAATTTTGATTGCCGTATAGGCCATGATACTTTCATAGTTAACCATGAATTGTTAAAAACTGTCAAAAAGCAAAGTTATACATTTTTTTAAAGAAATGCATAAGAAAGAAAAATTATGTATACATAAAAGGCGTTTTTCCTTTTTTTAATAAAATACTAGATATTTTTAAAGTGTACTGTATTTTTTCTGATTTTTTGAAAAATTACTACAAAGATCTGGGTAAGCCTACGTAGAATCCTTCTCGGATATAAACGCGTAGTCGAAAAAGAAAATGGCCCGCCGTAACTTACACGCATCCACACATACTTACGTCGCTTCAGAAATATGAATTTAAATATGTTTATTTGTAAACATTTCGCTATCACTAACCTCTGCAGCACAATCTCAATCCTACATATGTACATATACATATGTAAGTAATAAACATATGAGCATGCGAACCGATCTTTTTAAAATTCAGCTTTTTACGATAAGCATAAAAACAAAGTCCATGCATTGTTCTCGCCCATTGTACATACGTGGAATTAAAAAAAGAATAGAAATTTTGCGAATAAGCTAATGAAATTGAGTCCAGTGCATAGCTGATAAGAAATGATACAATAAAAGTGTTATTTTGTTTTTTCCCTAACTTTTTTAAACAAAAAAAAATATCTATTTTCATTGAACTCAATTTCCGCATTTAAAACTTGTCGAAATTTCGTAAAATTACTTTCAAATCGATAATCTTCAATATAACGATACAATATAACTATCAAATCGATTATCTTCAATTTAACGAAGCTTCCCCCATACCCATCTCTATAGCAAAAGTAGTACTAGAAGTAGATTTACTCTTTCATTGCATAATTTTAGGCGATTTGAAATGATAGCCAAATAGTTATCATTCAACACCAAACCGCAAAAAATTACAAGAAATCCACAACGGATACTTACGCACGCACAAATGCATTTATACAACACAATAATCATCAAGGGGTTTTAAACTAAATTGAAAGAATCACAAATTACTCAAGTATCCAGCGACGAAGCGCCAACAACGATCAAATACATTTCAAGTGTGACAAAATTTAGTTAAAAATAAATAAAAATTTAAGTACTTGGTTTAGCACGCAAATTAAAATAAAAATGGACAATAGATTAAAAGTGACAAAGAAAGATATAGCTTTCAAAGTAATACAACTGCCTGCTGCAGCCGAGTGTGTTTCCGAAAAGTCATCCTTACAAGATCAGCCTTCGAAGGAAGCAATCGACATTGAAGGCAATGAAGGTGCTGCTGAGACTGTGATCAGTGTGACCAGTGGGGCTGATATGATCGATGGTCCTATAGGAGATGATCAAGCAACTGCTCCACCCACCAACGAAAAACTACGTCGAATCGATAGCATGAATTATGCCGGAAATAAAAACTTAGCAGAAGGTGAGCAAACACAATTCCATGAAGCGTAAACGAAAGTGTACAGAAAATCTAAAAATACTGTTTTTACACATATTTAAATATTGAATTTAAGGTTTAATGGATATTGCACTTTTGTCAGCGAATGCTAATCAGTTGGTTTTTGCTTACATACAACGATAAAGCGAGCACTTACTACATGAGTCTGTGTTTGGTAGGGTTGTCCTTGGTGCTGCAAGTGGCCGTTGGTGTTGGGCTAATTTTTAAGGTACATATACAAATGTGTGTACATGCACACATACATACTTTAAAAAAAAAATATTAAAATATTAGCTTGATATTTCTGTAATTTAATGTGAACCCAAATTTTATATGAACTTATATTTTCTCTATAGCGCCACTTGAAGAGAACTGACAGCTGCTACTTCTATATAAAAGAATTCTTGCTCTGCGGCGTTTTCATTATTACCGTAGTGAATATACTCCTCGCCGCATTCACCACAACCGATGGCACTGAAAAAGCATAGAAACTAAGAAATCCGCTGATAGAACGATAACTATATATGTATATGAACAATGAACAAATTTACAAATGAACCTAATAAAGACTGCCAAAAATATTCTACTAACTAAAATTAAAAAAAAAGAAAAAAATAATGTTTTCAATGTAAAGCGTTCACAACTGTTAAGAATATAATACAGTGAAATCCTCGTTCATTTAAGAATTTCAATAACGCGCAAATGCCTCGTAATTGTGTAAACCTCGTAAATAAACCGGTTTTCCACACAAAATTAAGAAAATGTATGAGGTTTACGTAGTTACACCAGGCATTTACGCGTTTAGATGAATTGCCCTAAATATTTAAAAAAAAACAGAGTATCAAAAATAGGTAGGGCTTTTAAAAAGTGGCTTGTAACTCCGTTTTTTGTGTTGGTTATGGCCTTTGTAAATTAACGATACGTAGTTTTTAAAGTTTTTAAGGTTTGGGTTTGGGTATCAATTTGGGTGCAGTTAACTCCCGAGTTGATCCGGATCAACGCTGGCGTCTGTTTATGCTTTAAGATGAAGCTCTTGAATTCCATCAATGATGCCCTAATTTCGAGTGCTTAAATCTTTACGGAACTTTCACCTTGCTATGTACCTAAAATAAATAAATTTACATCAAAAAAATTTATAAATTTGGGAAATAAATTACTTTTTTCTTTGTTTACCTTTTTACACAACGCCTGGGTAAAAGATTGTCGTATGTTAATTTCGGCAGGTTGTGGGAAATCGCGATTGAAGTTTGGAATGCAATTTCTCAAAAACGCGAAGCTAAATTTTCTCCAAAGTCTCTAAAAATGTTACTAGTTCACAAAATTTTTAAATTATTTAATTTTTAATGTTTATTGTTAATTAGTTTTGACTTTTTGAAGGATTTTTCTGTCAAATTTTGTCGTAAGCGTCAATCGTCCCCAAATTGATCAAAATTTTCTACCAAATTAACGACGCTTTTTACTCAATATCTCGGAAACAAGAGGAGATATCCCAAAATGGAGAACGTAATTTTTAAAATATTAATTACTTTAATATGGCTGCCTCACCAACTAAATTTTTACTAAATTATCGAAAAAGTTGTAGTCAATAATTCGGAAACTATAGGAGATATCTAAAAACTGATAACACCAATCGAAAGACCTTATTTCAAAATATACAACTGCATTTAGAACCAAAAATCGTCAAAATGGCGCTTACGACAATCTTTTACCCAGGCGACGACAAGCAAATCACTTGGAAATGTAAATTCACCTCGATGCGATACAGCAACAACAAGGGCTAGGGGTATTTTTGTACGAAAAGCAACTTTTCAGCGGCAGCGCTCAGATCGTTCCGATAAGTAATGTTATTTTGTAATAAATTTATCATCAAACTTGTGTGTTTATTCGTAAAATTTATGCACTAAACGAAACCTTATTCTAATATTTTCTAAAGTTTATTTCATTAGTGCTGAAGAGCAATCGTGCCTGTAAGAAATTCTCACCTCTGGAAACTTTATCCCCATAAAGGACTTCACCACAGTTTTTTTACTAGATATACTGAGATCGTAACAACACCTATCTATGTAGATACCTTAGAATGTAAAACATTTCTTAAAAATCGTACATGAAATGTACAAATCGTGTGATCCCTGCTTAAGAGGTCGCGCATCAAGCGTTTATTTTTCCCAAAAGCAATAACACAGATTCTCTAAATTCCTAATATATGTATGTATGTATATTTACAAGAGTTGCAAGTTTATAGTAANAAAATGAAATAAATTACGCACACTTCCATTCTTTTACGAAATTTCGGAAGAAAATCGGTAAAGGAATGAAAATAATGCTGCTATGTGAAGAATTTCTTGCAGACTTTTTTCAGAATTTTCTTTATTTTTCGTACAGAAATTTCTTTACGAGTTCGTGTCAACCACTTCATATAATTTTCTTTGAAGATTCGGAAAAAAATCGTTACAGAAATCAGATACTCCTAAAGATTTCGTTAAGATTTCGGGAACTTTGGTTTGCAGGGAAGATACCCAGAAATCTTTAAAATCACTGATTTAAGATTTTTTCGGTATTTTTTTTTTAATTCTTTCGATCGTTGAACAGCATATTTTTGTTGTAGACTAATATAAAAAAAAACATAAAATATGCGTTAAAAAGTATTGACTTTATTTTTTCATTCGCACATATACATATTTTAATTTTTTAATAAATGCTCAAATTTTACATATATCTCACTTATACAAAATTTTAAAAACAGCTTAATAAAAATACAAAATATTTATTTAAAACAAAAATACACTAGCTATGATCTACATAAATGCTCAGGTTCCAAATTTTAAATTCATGTAAATATGTACATATGTAACTATTTCTGGAATTAACAGCATGCGCGAGTGTAATTGGTGAAAACACAGCTACTAAACCTAATAATGGCAATAGAGACGTATGTATGTGGGGACAACCAATTTACAAAATAGCATACGGTCGATTCCCTAATAAAT